GGTCGGGCAGGCGCAGGGACAACCGCCGGGATGCGGCTCACCCGCTCGGAGCAGCCCGGGAGGACGCTCGGCTGATATCGGCCACAGATGGGGAGAGGCTCCTCTGAAGCGTTCTCAGAAATGCAACAGAAAATTCAGCTTCTGCCCTTCCTCCTCCTCTGCTCTCCAGCAGCGGCGCCGCGGAGACGCAGAGCAGGAGCCAGCCGGACAGTTTTAATGTTTAAATTGCTGAGTTTTCGGTAGGGTTCTGCTCACTCCCAAGTTCAAGTGATTTTTGAAGAAGAGCTGCTCTGTTTCATTATTTACGCTGGTGCCGTCTACGCGCCCGCTATCGTTCAGCACCAACCTCAAGAGCAGATGATAATAGGATTGTAAACTTTTGAAGTTAATAAGAAAATTATAGTGCTTCCGTGTATTATTATAATGCAATAAGCTGCCACATAGTGTCTCTCGCCCTGCGGGGTATCACGGCTTGTCACCCAGCCTGTGAAGGTAATGATTAAAGCCCCATGAAATTCGCAGTGTCACAAAAGTCTTAAGAGGCATGAAATTCTCTGTTTTCCATTAAAAAAAAAAAAAATTGCATTTTGACGTATTTTTAAGAGAGACCTGTTAATTCCAGATTTGCTGCAGTGCCACAAAGGTCTCGTGCAGACAAGCTCACCTCGCGTGGGAGCTAAAAAAAAAAAGAATCAGGAGAAACCCGCTGTTTCTTCAGAGCCTCTCCCGCAGCGCGGTGGCCCAAGGGACGGTTCCCAAGCGCCCGCAGGGTCCCAGGCCCCGGTCCCGGAGACGGCTTCTGGGGCTCCGTGCGCCTCCTGCATCCCCGGAGGGCAGATGCGCAGGGTCCGGGGGTTGCTCCCGTGCCATGGGGCAGGGTGCAGGTGCCCGAGGTGCCAGCACGGCCGACGAAGCTGCCAAATAAAAAAGCTTCCAGCTAACGAGCCTGAAGAGATGAAGGGGATAAAAGCGCTGCGTGCCCATCTCTTCCCATTCCCAGCATCACCTTTAATGCATGATTAAGTGCTCAGGGCTGTTGCAAACAGTTAAAAAAACTCCCATTCAAACAAATAAACAGGCAAGGAGGGAAATGTGCCGGCTGTCCTGGTGCACCCCTTACACCCGGCGGTCGCTGCTCCTCCCGGCACGGCCAGCCCATCCGCACCCCGCCTCTCGCCCCTTTCAGATCAAGCTGAAGGAGATCTTCGAGACGCCCTCCGAGATCGCGCTGGTCCTGGAGCTGGTGACGGGAGGAGAGCTCTTCGACAGGTACGCCCGGCCCCGCCATCCCCCTCCGGGCTCCTAACGAGGGGGACGAATCTCAGCTCAGCGGCGGGGGGAGGATGAGGATGGAGGGGGCTGATGCACGCCATGGTTAGGGGACGGAGGGTGAGGGGGGTCCACACTGACCCCATGTGCCTGCAGGATTTTGGAGAGGGGTTTCTACAGCGAGCGGGACGCAGCCCACGTCGTCAAGCAGATCCTGGAAGCCGTTTCGGTAACGTGTCCCCGGCGCATTCCCTCCCCGAGGCCCTGGGGACGGCCCGGTGAGGAGATCCCTGCGGGTTCAGGGGTGTCGCTGCGGGGGCTGCACCCTCCCAGATACTCCTGGGGAGC